GATGTTGATCTTCTGTGCTGGGCCATCCTTTTGGCCAGTGGCTGTTTAGTTTCCCCGATGTAAGACTGATCACAGCCCTCCTGACACTGAACAACATACACAATATTACTCTGTTTGTGCCAGGGGAATGGATGGTTTGAGAGAGGAGTAAAGGAGGCCATCTTTGTGAAAAGAAATCGTCCATCATTAAACAGGGGTGGAGGCCTCCGTGTTCAACTGTCCCCCTCTTACAATGCTGTGATTGCTAGTATCACTCAGCCCTCTGTGAATAGTAAACAGCCATCAGTGTGCTAATGATCCATTGTTAGGCTGATGGTCCTTCTTGACCATGTGAGCAGCTGGTTTTGGTTGTCAGCAGCAAACTGGTTGATCCACTCTGAGAAGGTGCTATTTAAGAGACTGAGCTGAATACAGCACCTCAGACTGAGGAAGTCTCTCGGATGAGAGACAAAACGTTTCTACATTGTTTTTTTTTGCTTTGTTTTGTTTTTTGTTTTTTTGTTTTCTTGTTTTTTGAATGTCCAGAGGACCAGATTGAACTTTTTTGGAAGCTAAAATGCAGTTCAATTCAGTTTATTTATATAGCACCAAGTCACAACAGAAGTCATCTCAGGGCAGTGAACAAAAATATTCATATTTAAAAATAATGATTTAACATTATTTATCTGAGGAGCAGACTGCTTTGAGTTTATCTCCATCACAGACTCTCATTTTGAGCAAGCATAAAGGTGACAGTGGAAAGAAAAAACTCCCTCATAAGGAAAAATCCTTTAGCAGAACAGGACACACGGTCATCTGCTTCGACCGGCTGGGTTTGAGAGGAACAGATACACAATGGCAGGTCAAGAATCACATGTTAAGATAGAAATAGTATCAAATGAAAACTATTCAATTTTAGCAAATCATTTAAGAAATGAGGTCAATTTGTCCTCCAGTAGTCTAAGCCTATAGCAGCATAAGAAGCCAACCCTAACTATAGGATTTATCAAAAAGGAAAGTCTTAGTCCCAGTCTTAAAACTGGACATTGTGTCAGCCTCATGGACAGAAACTGGAAGTTGGTTCCACAAGAGAGGAGCCTGATAACTGAAAGATCTTCCTCCCATTCTTTTTTTGGAAATTCTGGGAACCACAAGTAAACCTGCAGTCAGAGTGGGAAGTGCTCTGCTAGGAAAATATGGAACAGTAAGATCTGTAGATGCAGCTAGGTTGTTGAGAGCTTTGTAGGTTAGAAGTAAGATTTTGAATTCAGTTCTGGACTTAACAGGGAGCCAATGGAGAGAAAGTAAAGCTGGAGAGATATGATCTCTCCTACTAACTCCAGTTAAGACTATGGCAGCAACATTATGGATCAACTGAAGACATTTTAAAGAAGTATTTGGACACCCAGATAACAAACCATTGCAATAGTCCAGTCTAGACATGACAAATGCATGAACCAATTTTTCTGCATCATTTTTAGATAAGATGTTTCTAATGTTAGTGATATTACGCAGGTGGAAGAAGGCAGTTCTAGTAATGTTTTTAATGTGTGGGCTAAAATACATGTCCTGATCAAAAATAACACCAAGATTTTTAACATTAGAGCTGGAGGACAGATTAATGTCATCCAAGGAGGGCGAAAGACTGAAAAATGTATTCTTAAGATGCTCAGATCCAAAAACTAAAACCTCAGTCTTGTCTGTGTTCAAAAGGAGAAAATTTAGGGTCATACAGGTTTATATGTCTTTAAGACATGCTTGTAGTCTGAGTAGTTGATTGGATTCATTGGGTTTCATGGACAAATATAATTGTGTGTCATCAGCATAACAATGAAAATGTATCCCATGCTGTTTAATAACTTTACCTAATGGAAGCATATAGTATTGGTCTAAATCTTACTTAAAATACACCAGCAGTTGAAAGAAGCACAAAAGAGATGACATTATTTAAAAATGTAGCTGAAAGAAGCTGAAATGATCAGAAGGAGGCGTGAAAAGTCTTAATTACTGTAGCAGAAAAAAGGTAAAAGGAGCACATAAAAGCTGACATTGGCTGAAAAGTAGCCAACAAATTGTAATTAGCTGAAAGAAGCTTTAAAAAAAGCAGATCCAACGCAATAAGCTAGTACGAGCAGTAAAATGTTTTAAACAGCTAAAGAAGTAGAAGAAAAACGGATCTAAAAAATGAATGATTTAGAAACATTCACACAATAATTTCATTTTGGTGACAATGTCTAATTCTGTCTGGTGTGATGAACAAACAGTTTGTCCAGAGCTGCTTGAATCACAAAAATTCAAAGCAATTCATGCAAACGTTATGTTGCAAACATTGACAGCTAGCCTGTCAATATTACAGCTTGGCCTGTCGCGATAAACAACAAATCAATGACAAATGACAAATGAAAATTAATTACCTCATTTTCATTTATCAGCTTTATCGTGTCTCTCTCTTTCTACTGAAGACACTGGATGACAAAAGGCTCAACTCTGGTGCTCTTCACTGACCCCTCCCTTTCTCTTTAAAATCTGTTTTAACTGTCCAAAATCATGTTTTTGGATCATTAAAATCAGCTAAGCTGCGAAGCTAAGCTACGAGCTAAGCTAACAGGCTGACCTAGGGAAAAAACTCTGTCTTGTCAAAGCAAAATTCCCGGTTGAAACCCGTGCCTTTGCATAAAAAGTTGTTTTTCTCTGCAAAAAGAAGCTGAGGACTTGTTTACTGATTGTTTATTAAAAGCTTTGTGTAAAAAATGCTATGCTATAGAGCTCAAACCACACCGAGTATATGCCATTTTGAGAACCAAAGAGCCCATGTCACGTCAAGGGGCCTCCCTCCCATTTTTCTTAAAGAGACATGCTGCTCTCTCCTGCATTATCCATCCTTCGGTTCAAACAGTCTTATACTGCCATCCGGTGGTCAAAAAAAGGTGCTACACACAAAACAAATTAACCAACATTTCGTCTTAAATTTGACAATAATTATTAATTATAATGATTAATTATTGTCAAATTTCAAACAATATTATCGTTTATCGCAATAATTTCTGAGACAATTAATCGCCCAGCAAAATTTGTTATCGTGACAGGCCTAATCACATCTTTATCCTGTTGGAAGGGTCGTGGCTGCTTCTGGTATTTGCTAAAATCCACTAAATTTTATTGAAATCAGGACGCCAACAAAATTTAAGAAAATAAAAATTAACTCTGCAGGAGCCAGTCTGTGATGATATTTAGAAAAATTATTGTAATAGGAAGAAATCTGTGACATCCCTAATTAGTCTTTAAAGGGATCTAGAACAGTAGGCCTTATAAGATAAACAATTATTTCAGCTCTAAAAACCAGACTGTAAAAATACTGTAGTCGGTTTAGATTTCATAATTAAAAAATAATTATTTACACATGGATGTCGCTATTTTATTTACACTGCAGTGCATTCTGGGTAAATGACAGACAGGTTGCTCCGGTTAACATTTCATTCAAATTGAATGTTAATTTTAGACATTTATTAGACATAAAATCCCTTTTAGAAACATATTTCAAAGTACTAAATATTTATTACTCTAAATTAATATTTATTACACTAAATTTCTTGCTCACTTATTACAAAATGTAACCTGTTCAACAGAATCCCACTTTACAACAGTTGAACTGTTGCTTCATAAATTCCATTCTATCCACTTCTCTAAGCCGACGTACCTCGCTCATGTTTGACCTTTGACCTTTTCTTTGCGGAACAAGAAGTAAAATCAACCAGAAAACAAGCGGCTGTAAATTACGAGGTTGCCTGAGGATGCGGGCAAGTAGTCGCCAGTCATTCGGGAGTAAACACGACACCGTTCACGGGCTTGAGGATGAAGGAGGTGGGGGAGGTCTACCGCATGGCCTGAGCTGAAGGTCCACTGAACATGTGGAAAACATCTGGACAGCACTGGTCTAGAAACAGAGAAAAGAGGCTGAAACTAACAGCCGAGCCTGGACTCAGCATGACTTCCTCTGAGGCTTTAGGAGTCCTTTGCTGTTTGTGCACCCATAGACATTAATACATAGATGCCTCATTGAGTGGGCTGGCCCGCTGCAGCGGTCATTGGAGCGTCCGCCATATTGGATGTGGCAGAACTGCCGGTCAACTAATACAAGGAAATGGACTGAACTTCACAGAGCACTGTTCTACAAAGTGTTTTAAGTTAATCTCTGTCATTCACACAAACTAATACATTTGGAAAACAAACAGGCACCAAAGACAACATTTGTAACTTTTAACCCGATTATTAAAAATGTCTACTCCTTAAATGTTTAGGTCATAGGTAAGCACTAAACCAACATACATATTCTTTTGAGTGTCTACAACTATGAACATGTGTGTAACACTATTACTGTGGTGACAAATACAGAAATATTCATATTTAATATTTAATCTGTGTCTATAATAACCATTTCCTGAAATGTGGATGTGATGTGTGGACATTCCGAATAAAAACACTAAGGTTCACATTTAACAGATTTTGATTAATCATTTTTATATTCACATCGATGAACATACATACACCAACATATCTTCACAACATATCTTTACAGGGAGTGGGGGGTAGTGAACAAACACACACACACACACACATATATAAATGTATATATATGTATATACATGTATATATTTATAATACATATACATATATATTCATGTACATATAT